TGGGGTAAGGACTTCAGTGAGCTGAAAGCATAAGACAGTTCCACGTATAAACAGTTAAATTAGGTGCTTTCCAAGACAAATCATAATTTCATGACTAAAGTCGGTGACATGTATCCCTTTCCAGCAATCAATGGACCCTGACACAGAGCAAGAGGAGAGACAGCAGATATCAGACTGCCTCACACTTCTGAACTACCTTCCCAAGCCTCATGCACCCAACCCTTTATACTTCATGCAGAGAAAAAGGGTTCAGGAACATCACATGATGGTCCTAGTCCCCTGTTGGACAGCCAGGCCAGGCCAGGGGCAGGTGCTGCAGAGTCATTGTAACATGAATAGACCCCAGTGCTAGAGGGCAGAAAATAACGTGGAGTTTTGGCGCTTTTTTTTTCACAATGTGAAAAAAACTCCCAAACCCAACCACTTTTTGTGTCACTGTCAAGATCAGTGGTTAGAGCTTAGTGATCAATGCTCTAATGAGAAAGGAAATCAAGTTTATTTAAACTTAACATCTCTGTGGGGTGAACGGCAACACTAGAGTTAAAAGCAAAGCCTCTCAAAGCGAAACCTCACCTGCCAGACACAGCACACTTATCCTGATCCCACAAGCCTTCCCACGAGGAGTTTACATCCAAAGGGAGAGCATGTACCCGTCCTGTTCCCAACTACTTAAGTTAAAATACACACCCCTGTGATAAACAGCTGCGGTCCTGCAACAGCTGCGGTAGCGGCAGATGGAGCTCTGCCCGGAGAGAGGCAGCAGGCCCGGCATGACCGGCACGTACCCACGATCCCCAGAAAGCCACCTTGGGGTGAGTGGCACCGCACTCTGCAGGGCACAGCTTTATGCCAGCAGCATCAGCTGAGTGCTGGGCTGGGAAGTCAGAGCCCTATCATAAATCTAGAGAGGTCTCCTGGGAATATAAATAAATAAATATTTTTAAAATACATTTTTTCAGGGTGTTTTATTGTGTGTTTCTTTTATAATTCGGTGAGTGGAGCACCTGGGGGTGAAGCCAGGCTTTTAGAAACTGTTAGGTAACTAGAAAACTTGTTCATTTCACATCTTTTAAATTAAAAGTATTTTTATTTCTCTGATGCTCGCCAATTTAATAGTAATAATTTATGGGATGCAAGCGGGAGAGGACGGCATGCATAATTACTTGATGTAAGTTTTTAAAAAGAAGCATAAGTTCACACAGACAGCGTGAAGCACCTAAAGATGCCTCAGACATCCCCTTCCCACCGGAGCGTCCTCAAGAAGTCCAAGCGGCCACCCTCTCACAGAAGGGGGTGGATTTACATCCTTCTGGGGTGAAGCTTCCCGTGCTACAGAGGGGGTAGCGGAGCCTCGGGAGGGCGCTCGGGTGATACGCAGAGACACGCGTGGGGCAGGCAGCATCTTTCCCGCATCGCTTCATCCAAAGCGCCGCTGGGGAACTGCGTGGGGGGATGAAGCGTGGTGGTGGTGGAGAGGTAAAATGAGCCTTCTCAGCCAGCTTTCCCGCTGGCCCGGGTGGAAAAGGGAAAACTAACTCTCAGCCATGGCAATGGGTGTCCGGTACCAGTAGCACTCCTCAGGGACGGGACGGTGCAGGGAGGGCGGCAAGAGCCCGAGAGGCGCCCGCACCATCCCGACCCCGTGGTGAGGGCCGCCCCCGACGGCGGCCACCCTCGGCCGGGAGGTGGCAGCTCTCCGCGGCGGCAGCAGCCCTGCCTCCGCGGCCGCGCACCCCACCCGCTCCCGCCCCCGGGTCCCCGGGGGTGCCGGGAATAACTCGTTCCCCGTCAGGGGCAGGAGGCGGGGCCCGCGCCGTATAAGAAGGGATCGAGCGAGCGTTTCGCTCCCAGGTCCTGAGACGCCTTGTCCCATCCCCGCCTTCTACCGCTGCTCACGGCGTGACCCGAGCCCGGATCGGCCCCCTCGGGGAGGAGACGGCGGGGCTGCAGTGGGAACACCAGTGGCACCGAGCAGCAGCAGTGCCAGCAGTGCGAACAGCAGCGGCGGCAGCAGCAGCAGCAGCCTCGCTCCCACCTGCCCGCGGCAGAGGCTGGAGCTGCGACCGTCGCGGAGCGGCGTTTGGTGCCCGCGGTCCGGAGCCCCCGCGCCGCGGCCGTGCGGTGCCGCGTCCCGCTCGCCGATGAGCGCCGCCGCTCTCTACAGCCTGGACTCCCCGGCATGTTATAAGAGCTGGTGCCTGGAGCCCGCCAACTTCTACGACGCCAAGGTGGGCAGCGGCGGCGGGCCGGGTCCCGCCTGCAAGCCGGGGGCCCGCGGCGGCTGTGGGATGAGCGGCGAGGAAGCGGGGGGCGGCCTGGGGGGCAGCGGCACCAACCTGGCGGAGCTGAGCGCCGCCGCCCCGGCCATGTACGAGGACGAGAGCGCCATCGACTTCAGCTCTTACATTGACTCCATGTCGGCCGTGCCCAACCTGGAGCTTTGCAACGACGAGCTCTTCGCCGACCTCTTCAACAGCAACCACAAGCCCGAGCGGGGCGGGGACTACGGCGAGTATTTGCCGCCGGGCGGCGGCGCCGGCCGCGACCCCGCCAAGGACCTCGGCGCTGCCATGACCACCCTGCTGGGCGCCGAGCCCCGCACCGCCTCCTCCTCCTCCTCCTCCTCTTCTTCCTCCTCCTCCTCCCGTGGCGCTCTGAAGCAGGAGCCGGACTGGAGCGACAGCGACCTCTCCTCCTCGCTGCTGCCCTCGCAAATCGCCACCTGCGCCCAGACCATCATGAACCTGAGCGGGCAGCCCACGCCACCCACCTCCCCCGAGCCGCCGGGCAGCAGCTCCCCCTCCAGCTGCAGCACTCGCTCCCCGGGCCCCGCCGCCGCCGCCGCCGCCGTGCCCGGGCCGACACAGGGCGTCCCGCCGCCGGCCGCCGCCGGGGGCAAGGAGCGGGGCGGCAAGAAGTGCGTGGACAGGTTTAGCCCCGAGTACCGGCAGCGCCGGGAGCGCAACAACATCGCCGTGCGCAAGAGCCGCGACAAGGCGAAGCGGCGCAACCAGGAGATGCAGCAGAAGCTGCTGGAGCTCTCGGCCGAGAATGAGAAGCTGCACAAGAAGATCGAGCAGCTCACCCGGGACTTGACCAGCCTCCGGCACTTCTTCAAGCAGCTGCCGAGCGCCTCTTTCCTCCAGCCTGGTTCGGGCACCGACTGCCGGTAACCGGGGGGCAGCGGGACGGAGAGACGGACTCCGGGAGACGGTGGATAAATACCTCAAGAGGGCCGGGCCGAGCCGTGCCGGGCCGTGCCGCGGCGTCCCGGGCCGGGCCGCGCACGGGAGGAGGCGCGGAGCCGCGGCGGGACCTGCCGGCCCCGCGGCCGCGCTCGGAATGTGGCGGCGACGTGGGGCGATGCCTCGGTCTTTCACCACGAAACTTGCGAAAAAGGGAAAAAAAGCTAAATATATTTTTTTTCTTTTCTCCCCTTAAATTATTTTTGTAATGATAGTTTTCGTCTTTTCTACATTTTACTCATACCGATGCAGCTATGGTACATCTGTTAAAATGATTCAAAATCCCATGTATTTTAGACAGTAGGATGGATTAAAAAAAAAAAAAGACTGAGCATGCTCGACCTTTTATATCGATTTTTACAGCATTTCTAAGAATAAAGAAAAGCATTTTAAATCAACCCTATTCTCGTTTGCTCTGTGTGGTGACAGCAGCGGGTCAGCGGCGGGGGAAGCTGCGCTGCCCGGGAGGGAGCTGAACACGGGGTGGGGAGGACAAGGCGGAACGGGTCCCAGCAGCTGAGACGGGGAGGTGAGGGAAAGCTGGGGGCGAGGGGCGCCGCGTTATGTCCCAAAGCATCCAGAGAGCGATGCAAGGGTGGGAACAATCGTGAGACTCCTCGGCCGTGGGGGGTTGCGAAGTCCGCTCCGGGGGAAGCGGCATCGCTGGGCCGGAATGCTGAGTCAGGGGTTGCCGCGGCGCTGAGTGGGACTGAGCAGCAGCACAGCAAGAGGGGCTGCTCTGTGACCAGGACTCAGCCAGAACACAGTATTTTATGGAAAAAAAGGTATACGTGACCACAGGAACACCATTGGTTAAAATTCATGCTGAAAAACCTCCAAGGGGTTTCGATTCCAGATAAGGCAAGGCTGCACCTACACTAAGGTGCTCTGGAGTTTGGGAACCAAATACAGTGAGTCCCAGAGATGGTGTTGCACCCACAGGCTTCATCCTGCTGTAGGCTGTAGAACTGGAGGAGCTGGGCACTTTCACTGGTCCCTGCTAGTGAAAGTGAGAGCGGGCAATGCTGCCTGACTGAGTGAATATATCACCAAAGGTTAGGCAACTTGTCTGAATTTTGGTAGTGCATGCACAAAGATGACAGCATCTGCAGGGCACTGGCAGAAAAATGGTTTGACACAACAAGTACCTCCAGCTGTCCCAGAGACTGAAATCTTACTGGTTTCAAAGGGGAGCCCCTGGTTTCCCATAAACACCAGTATCCTCTACACAGGAATGGACTGAAGTCCCCCTTTTCCTTACAGGGAGACAGGTAACAGACTGATACTTGGAGGAGGAGGGAAAGGGGGGTTTCAAAAGCTGGGTCATTCCTTTAGTAATGGTGGCATACATAAGCCTGTTCACTACCAGCCTGAGCTGCAGGAATGATCACTGTGGCAAGTTTGTTGTTCTTTTTCTGCTGGTTAATCTCATACGGGACCTGTGCAAAACCACTCATTTCCTCTGACCTGTAAGGGGCTTTTAAATACTGTGAAAGGGGAAAAAAACCCCAGTCTCTAACTCTTAAATAATTCTTACAATTATGCATACAGAGGAAGATTTTTATATTAATTATCTGATCTGTAATCCATGTCTCCACAGTCTGGGTGAGGATAGTTACATGGCCTACAAAGCAGTTTGCTCCTTACCCGTAACAGAAACTGTATAATGAAACACCCGCTTTGTGGGAAGCTACAGATAACACAGTACTTCTATGCTTAAAGACCAATTAGCTGTAAAATATTAACTTTATATGAGCTTGACACTTCAAAATATAAGCTTTATTCAAATCTCTGTCTTTATAACAATTATTGCAAGATGATAACAATGCAGAATTTGTGCACCAGACAGCATTTTGCAGCTGGTCTAGAATCCACTGATAAAACTCAGCTTAAACCAACATTCACTGCCTATAGCAAAGTATTTATTTCAAAAATATCAGTAAAATATTTTCCATTGACACATAATATTTACAGTATTATATTCAAAAAAATCACAACCATTAAAAATTCCAGAACAAGGTGTTTTACATACATAAACAGCAAACATACCAAAGAACTGTATTCTGAAATTCTGAACTGGTCCGAAAAAGGAGAGTTCAGAAAGTTAAACAGGGTTTTTTATATGGATATTTTCAGTGATAGCACAATGTGCTTTGTAAATCACAGTTTTAATAAACTATCTTAATGCTTATCACACTTGCATTATACATTATCTGTGGCACTAGTTAACAGATAACCACATTACAAAGTCCACAGATACTATAATAGCTGACTAGAGTTCACCTCTGTCTTGCTGCAGCTTCCAGAAGAACAATTTCCTCCAGTGCAACACAGTTGGGGTGACTGGTTACAGAGTGGACGTAGCAGTTCAATAACCCCACCTCCTTTCCCAGCACGCTCTGCACCTCGTAAGTCTGCGCGAATAAAAGCATGGTGAGTAAAACAAACAGTCCTGGACATTCTGTTCTAAACAGCGTTCAGCTGGGAAGACGCAGCTTGAAAAATCCTCTTCCAACAGGCAATTTTTTTTAAGGACTCAGAAGGGTGCATTAGAACTGATAGAATGAATACACTAATTTTCAATAATTAGATCACACTGCTGCCTCAACTGCTGCTTCCCAACCAGGGTTTTAAAACGAGCTGTTTAAAAACCCAAAAAGTTACTGTGACGTTGGACTCAATTTTGCTGAAGCATAACCTGCACGTGCTCCCTTTATCTCACTTTCTGACTCTCGCAGCACTTCCCATGTGCTGGCAATGTGTAAACACAATCTATACATTGATTATGTTGGTTGATTCACTGAAGGGAACCCTTTCTACTCTCCCCCATTTCAACTTTGTGTTGTTCGTGCATCTTTTACCATCACCAGCACCTACACAGTCCCTCCTGTTTAATGATCTGACCAGCATTTTACCCATGAGTTGTGCCTAAGCAAATTTGTAGAGTCTGTATTCTGTGTGGAGGAGAGGGATGCAAGGCTGGGAGAGTTTCACTAAGAGGAGACAGCACGTTAACAGAAGAGCTGGTAACAATGATAGTTGATACTCCACTTGAGAGGGTATCTCAGATGGCAAGTTCACCTCCATTTCTTTCCCTAATGGGTCTTGTCTGTGACGAGCCCCTGACCATGCCCCTGCTTTCATCTGGGCTGTGCTTCTGTACAGGTAAGTGATACCCACGTCTGTTGCCTGTTCAAGGCATAAACAATCTTTTTCCTTTTTTTTTCCCCCCTGGATTATTTTTACCCCAGACCGGTTCTGCAGTCCAGTTCACGGTTGCAGCTGCACAAACAGTTCTACTGGTGGAACAGAAGGGCTGCCACAAAGTAAGGAACAAGCGTCCAGGGCCAGCAACAGCTAAAACCAACCTCCCTGCCAAAAAAATTGATTACAAAGCTACACCCTTAGAAACTTTAGCAGCACTGGCAAAAAAAATGACACCTCAAGTATTATTTCTTATGATTAATCTTTATCCCTGCATTTCAGCTCAGGGAAGAAAAAATCTAAGTTGCCAGACTTCTAAATACTGCCATTACGTACACTGAAACATGAAAAAGAGGTTGTTTGAGTTCTAATAACTTGAAAAAGAACTATGTTTTGCTAGTCTGTAACCAAACCAGGCACATCCTGTAAAACTCAGCAAGACTTAATTGCTATTAAAGGAGCAAACACATTTTGGAAATTTCTTGTATCAATTTGCTTAAACGAAATATACACCTTCCTACATAAGAAAAATAATTTATGATTTCAGAGTAACTTTTCACTTTCGATATTACCCATAAATCCCACTAAAACCATGGAGTGTGTAATAGCAAAATGCTGGAAAACTTGAAAGACGGGGAAAGCAAACTGACCCCAATACACATCACTGAAGATACTTAGCTAGGATGATTAAACAAGACAACGAGCCAACCTTTGCTCCCTTCCACGTGCAAGGGAGAGGGGAGAATCTTAGGATCCTAATTGGACTTAATGACTCTCTAAAGGTGCCGCTCCTTCCCTGCTGACCATCTGGCAGCCAATGCCAGCCAGGCACCTATCCGGGTGCCTCTCTCACCTGTGATAAATCTGGGTCACTGTGCCAAATGTCAGGGTTCTTCTGATATCTCAGATAAAAGGAATAACTACTTCACGATTACATAAACTGTACTTTAGCCCATGGATCCCCGTGGCGTATGTGTGTTTCATTCATACCATTATAAAGTAGTATCTTGCACACATTTTGCAAATTCCTCTACTACTTCCACCTGCCAGTACTTGGACTGTATGCCTGGTGTCTTTGGATCCTCAGCCAGAGAATGGAGTAAAGCCCAGTGTTGCCCATTGCAGCTCTGAGTGCCTGGACACGGTGTGGTTTGCAGGTAGCTCTGAAGGTCCGCAGCTGAGCTAAAACTGTCCAGACAGCCCATCTGCAGCATCCCTCTTCCAAAAAGGAGGGTGTCAGTCTGATCATAGTCATGAGGCATCAGCAGGACATCAGCAGCTGGAAGGTGGGATTGCCAAAGGGCCCAGCCCACCCATAACACAGGCTGGACACCAGAAAGTGCCATCTCCTACTGCTCCTACTGCAGTTCTGAAACAATTTCTATCACTGGAGGTTTTCAAGACCCTGCCAGCAAAAGTCATGGCCAACTTGTATCCACATTGGCAATAGCTCAGTGTGGATGGGAGATTGGACAACGACCTCCAGAAATTATTTCCACTTCTATGATATGACTATCTTCCCACCTGATTCATGTCTTCTGTACTCTGCCCCTACAGAAAGTTATGCAGTTTACCTTCCTTTGGTCAGCATTCATTATACCTACCCCATCCTCACTGGTGGAGGACATCAGGAGAGAAGAGATCGTCCTTTGCAACAGCTAGAATAAGAAAATTCACAGGTTTTATTCATGACAAAAATCTTATGTATGCAAAGACGTTCTGTTTGTTTGCAGGTTAAAACAGTCACATAGAACAAAGCTTTATCATTTTAATATCAAATGTTTTTGTTTCCTTGGCCAAGAAAACAGAGAAGACAAAAATGATGTTCAGAATGGAGTCTAAAAATATGCATTCCTTTTAGACTGTGGAGACTGAGATTTTCCAAGGCCCAACCTAATAAAGCCCTTCATCTGGACCATAAACAGTTTGCAAACCTCAGTGTGAACTCAATGATTGTATTATTTAAGCAAGATCTGGAAACTGGTTTCTTAGCCCAATGAAACACAAGTTTAGTATCAGATTAAATTATGGGATAGTCTTACATATTTTGTCTTCTGACAAAGCTGTTTGTAAAAGTGTGGCTTAGAGTAGCTATGTGTCTACATACAATACACAGAACCTTATTTCATGCCATACCTTTACTTTTACTGTACTCTGAGATCGGGATGGACAACTCAAGAAGACTTCCAGCTGCATTTTCAAAACCGGTGTAATGACAACATCAGAACATTGTTTGCAATATAGCAATTCTCTGAAACACAGAAATAATGGTGGAAAACCATAGAGAAATGGAAAACTTATCAGCTGTAAATCAAAACAAATAAAAACTCAACGAGTTTATTCTCTAAAATACTTCGCTGGTAGACTTTCAGTAGGAAAGCCTTGGTAGGAATTCAGTTGAGAATAGCAAATAAAGCTCTTCTGCTGGCAGTAACTCTTGGAGAACCTAAACTCTTCTGGCAGAAGATCTTCCTTTTATAAGTAAGTTCTGGCAATATGGAGGGAGGTTGCTACTTACAGTCACCCCACATAAGCAAATATTAATCTCATAACTTGCTAAAAGTTATGGCCCAGGAAAATCTGCAGTATACATTTGGCCAAAGTGACTTTTCGACTTAGGCCCTCATTCAGCAAACGCTCAAAATTTTCAATGCACACTTGAACAAAATTAAGCTCAGCTCCAAGTGCTTGTTGGAAGCACTTCTTAAACAAACACTGATACTTCATTCATTCTACAAATGAAGCAAAAATGTCCTTCACAGGTGAGATACTTTCTTAGTTGAACTACACTATGTGAACATATACACATCTTTATTTTTTTATGACAATACAATATAGGACACCTGTTTTTTATGTTCATCTTTTTTTCCCTCAAGGACTATATGTGACAAAGTATAAGCAGTAAACTTTCTCATATTTAGGAAAATGTTATCTATTTCAATAGGATCAAACTCTCCCAACTGCTCCTTACAGTTTTTGTAAGCTTGTTCATGACTAAGAACCCCTCCTTTCTTTCTTTCTTACTGTTTTTCTTTCCTTCTTTTTACACTTTGACTACTCTTATCCCACTGAGTTTTTATTCTACCAGGTATCTCAGTCTCTACAAGAACAAGCTGGCTAGGCAGCTGATGGTTAGGCTTTCCAAAAGCATGCCAGTGTGAGCCAGCTTCAGCATTTCAGGTGGTAACAGGTCCTGTAGGGTCAGTCTTCACATTCAGGACAACCATGCTGCTAGATTTATTCAATGTCCTTTTCAGAAAGGTGATAAATTTAGTAGGTCTGAAACACAACTCTTTCACACTTAGATAAATCGCAGCAAAGATCAGAGTTTAGTATAAAAATGAGGTGAATTGAGGGTACACAGAGTAACAAGGCAGGGCACACAAACACATGCAGCTACTTTTAAAATAACTTAAAATCAGACCTGTGGTTTATGTGTATGTTTATTAAAACTAACAGTATAATGCAGTGGGCTATGAAATCTTTATAAGCAAGGCTTTAAGACTGATTTTTTAAAAAAAATAATAACTGCAAAATCAAACCATTTCATATCTACTTGTATCTCTCTTAATAAATTAATGTAACCTTGCAGGCTTTATCAGTTCATCAGCAATAAAAATACTACGTCTTAGTTCTAGGAAGGAGCAAAGTGCAGGCTGTGCCTGCAGGAATCATTGCATCACCTATTGCTATTATGGCTACATCTACAGAACACCTGTAGTGCTTCGGAGCATGCTGACTCTCACCTGTCCTGGGGACACAGTTCCAACTTTCCATTTCCACATCTGTCGCATGTAGGCCAGGAGAAAGCAGTGCTCTCATTAACTCCAACAACAGTACCTGCAGAACATGGAATTCTTACAAAGTGCTAACATTAAGACAGCATACACAGTCTCTCTTGGCTTCACAGCAGGTTTGAGCCTTTCTGACCTGCAGCTTAGGACTTGTCAGAGCAAGAACCAACTCTTCCAACAATCTCACTCCCTTTCTCCTTGGTCCCTCCAACAAGGGATGAAAGTACAGCACAGCATGTTACATTCTAAAAATACCAGAAGGTAGATAATTGACAATTAACTTTCCAAACAGGATTACTTCTTTTGGTTTGAATTTTATTGCTTCTCTGATTTGTTTTCGCTTGTTTGCTTTCTTTCTGGTCCTCTGCTGTTTCCTTGGCAATAAACAGCTAAAAAAATCATCAGATCGGATAGCTTGATATTGATATTTAGGAAACACAAACCAATGAGAAGTCCCAATCCCTTTTGAAAACAACAATGCAGATTAAATTCCACTAACAATGGAGTTATTCTCCATTTATACTGATTTAAGAGAGATTAGATCTGGCTCACAGACTTAAGTGTGTGCCTAAGAAGGGAATGCCAAAGATACTTTGGACTAATAAAAAGGGCCTCGCTAGTTTTGGCAAGAAAAAATATATTCAGGGTTTTATGAGAAGCCAATAAAGAGTGTATTATATTTTATGCTAACAATACGATGAAATTATGAGAATTATTTATGGAGAAAAATACATCCAAGTATTCACCTGTAAGAATGAAATTACACTAAAATAAAACCTCACTAATACAACAGAACTACAGACTAAAAAATCCAGCTCCTATTGAGCAAGAATCTCACATTCTATACCACATTCAAGAAGAAAGCCTTGTAGACTGTGGAGCATTTACATCGTCTGGACTGTAAAGTGAGCTGTTAATCCCTTACTTTTCTGGTTCTCCTGAAGCAAGGAGGGAGCTACACCTAAACAACAAAACTGTAAGATTTTCTTTGTGAATTCAAAGGACAAGGAGTCTGAAGATATGGAAAGTTGCCTCTCAAATAGAACATTTACGACCCAATTGCTAAGCATACAATGAAGCAACATGCATTACACTGACAGAATAAGCAATTCTATTTAACCCCTTGGACTCCTATAGAAATAATTTTGATTATTTAGTGTTTGTGAGAAGCTTGGAGTTTCCATCAGCACTTGCTACTACAAGATAGGCTTTCTGCCACAGCACAGGCATATTACTCTTTGAATGACCCGAATGTTGAATGGCCAGTCACAAGTTGTGTTCCCCAGGGCTCAGTTGGGGCCAGTCCTGTTTAATATCTTTACCAATGACTTAGATGAGGGGATCGAGTGTACCCTCAGTCAGTTCCCAGACGACACTAAGTTGGGTGGGAGTGTTGATCTGCTGGAGGGCAGGAAGGCTCTGCAGAGGGATCTGGACAGGCTGTATCCATGGGCCAAGGCCAGTGGTATGAGGTTCAACATGCCAAAGTGTCAGGCTGTGCACTTGGGTCACAAGAGCCGCAGTCAGTGCTACAGGCTGGGGGTAGAGTGGCTGGAAAGCTGCCCAGTGGAAAAGGACTTCGGGGTGCTGGTCAGTAGTGGCTGAACATGAGCCAGCAGTGTGCCCAGGTGGCCAAGAAAGCCAACGGCATCCTGGCCTGTATCAGAAATAGTGTGGCCAGCAGGATCAGGGCAGAGATTGTCCCTCTGTACTGGGCAATGATGAGGCTGCACCTTGAGTACCGTGTTCAGTTTTGGGCCCCTCGCTACAAGAGGGACACTGAGGTGCTGGAGCGTGTTCAGAGAAGGGCAATGAAGCTGGTGAAGGGAAGCTAGGGTTGTTTAGCCTGGAGAAAAGGAGGCTCAGGGGGACCTTCTTGCTCTCTACAACTGCCTGAAAGGAGGCTGTTGCCAGGTAGGGGGTCAACCTCTTCTCCCAGGTAACAAGTGACAGGATGAGAGGGAATGGCTGTGCCACGGGAGGTTTAGATTGGCTGTCAGGAAGAATTTCTTCACTGAAAGGGTGGTCAAGCAATGGAACAGCTGCCCGGGGAAGTGATGGAGTCACCACCTCTGGAGATATTTAAAAGATGTGCAGATGTGACACTTGGGGGAATGGTTTAAATGGTCGATTTGGCAGTGATGGGTTAATGGTTGGACTCAATGATCTTAAATATCCTTTTCAATCTAAGTGGTTCCATGATTCTATGATTCTTGTTCATCAAAAAGAAAAGCTACTAATTGTTTTGCTGAATATGTTACCTTCTTAATTAAAAAATAATTTTAAAAACAAATCCCCTTTTCTGACAGATGTGTTTCTAAGTCTTTTTGCTTTCTCCCAACTGTGTGCCATACTGCAACTGCAGGATGCCAGTGCACAAGTAATGCAAGTACACTTGAAGAAAATTAATCAGGATCATAGTGATACAAACTGTACAGTGGTTTATTCTGATGATGATGTAGAGTTCCCTTGACAAAACCACCAGAGATCACTGAAGTCAGACCAACTCAAATCAGCAACAGGTATAATAATCTAGTGACAGTCTTGAGTATCCTGTATGTAAAGTGATTTCTCAAGTTTAAGCTACTGAATTGCTGCACATCTTTGTCAAGACACAAACCTTTTGGATATTTTCCCAAGATCCTTCTTTTAAATGGAAATGCACACAGCCAAAATTAGATGTTCACCTATTTGCTATTTTTACGGGTTGTGGCTGACATTATTAAGAAGAGACTGACAATAGGACAACATCTGACAAAACAGGTCTCTCGTGTGGAATGCAAAGTAACACTCTGGTCGAAACATTAAAAAATCAATGTGTTTGGGTTTGGGGTTTTTTTCCCAATCAGTTACCCAGGTCAATGGCACAGGAAGGGGAAAAATTCAATCAAAAAGAGAAACCTAGGTATATTAAGAGGAAAACTGAAAAAAAAACCACACCCCTGCGTAAAGACTTAAATATGAAAATATCCAACGTCAAAATTCAATCACTGGTGGTGAGTCATATACTAGGCAAATGTCATTAATCAAGTAATATTCCCACATATCATATGTGGTATGGACTAACTAGAATTTGCTCATAACCATGATTAAGAGGAAAAACAATTTTGTGCAGTATGAACTGCCAACATTTAAGTCATCCTGACTGCTACTATACAGAAAAAAGAGGTTGGAAATTACATTCCAATGCACAGTGATAAGAAAATAAATCTATTAACCCTGAGCTCACAGATGAAAACCACAGATTCATCTTGCAAAGAAGAATAAACTTTTTATTAGAAAACAACCATTGGTTTTTACTCCTCTGTTGAAGAGCAACACATTCCATCCCAGAGCTGATATGACTTGACCTCCCTGAAACAAGGATTTCTGACAAATCCATTGGATCTGCAACACTACCCCTTTTGATGGGGAGGAACCTCTTAAGTCTCATCCAGTCCAGAGCTGTACCAAGTTTCTCAGGGTCCAGATTTAAGCAGGAGCTTGGACTGGAGGAACTTCAGAGGTTCCTTTCAAAGGAATGGGAAAACACACTCCTTCAAGAAGGGGTAGAGTAAAGCCTGCGCAGCTTCTTTAAGTATTAGGTGGGAGGATGCCTATGTACAGCACATGTAAGTGATCGAAAGAACAGGAAGTAAAAGGATGCACAAAGGAAAAGAGTGAATGAAGTAAGACTGCTTCGTGTTGAAAGCTAGACTAACAACTCTCTGAGTTAACAGAGAGGGACAGTGACTGAATTTTAGAGATGATACATTTTCCTCCATGCATTACCCCCTCAAAAGCATAATCTCCCACCAACAAAGTAGGGTGCTAATGCTAAGCAGGGAAACTAATGCTATTAATTTCACTACTTTGTCAGGAAAATGTAGGCACTAACTAACTGAAATCCAAAAGAGTGACAATATCTCTTAAATGCTATTATTTCAGTTACACATAAAAGTGAGAGTTATCTTCCATATATATATTGCAGTAGCATAGGTATAAAGAAGATACTTTATATTCTGTGTTGGTATCCAGGTGTGGGAACACAGTGCTAACTGCAAAAATTCCAGATTAAACAAGACAAGGTTGTAGGATTAGTTTCTCCTTTTGTCATTCTTCCATCTGTAATACAGAACAAGGAAAGCATGACATCTCCCATGTGTGTAAAGTAAGTATTTGTTTACACAACAGCTCACAAAGGTGTATTTTCTTTGCTCTACTGGAAAAAGAAAGGACAGAGAAATGTTTGCTTTATCCTACTATGCACACTGTCAACAAGAAAAGAGAAGACAGGCACTTATATAAAAACAGCAAAATAGTGACAATTCCTAGCATAACTATCGGAGAGGTTAAAAAAAAAAAGTCAAAAAGTATTTCATACCCAATGACAGAAACATCTTTCAGGTAACTATAGCAATGCAAGATGTAAATAACAATCAAGGGTTTGAGTGAAGTGCCTCTAGTTGTGATTGGTTTTCATTATGCGCTGTTAGAGCTCAACATTTGCACTGCAAGGGGACTCGTTCATTAATCACAGAGGTATTGTGAACTTGTGGCTCTACCATAGCAGAAGGTATGTTTAGTAAAGGCTTTGCATGGTTTCAAACTGTCTTCTTAGTGCTTATCACATTATAGCTGGAAGAATTAATTTGTAAACCATTATTTGTTTCAATTTTAAAGTTCGTTCATCCAGTGAATACTTAAAGGTCTAAATGTCAAACTCTATCAAGAATTTTCTACAAGGGCTACTGGAATCGTAAGAGTTAAATTAAGAACGGAAATAGTCTTTAAAAGCCAAGAATTGTTGGGCTTTTAAGGACATTTTCCTATAGACACTCTACAGCTGGGAGGTTTAAGAAGCTGTCTGGACAAAGCATTAGAAAACACACAGTAGGAAATGTTTCTGCATGATTAGGAAATGTTAGAAAATACATTGTAAGAAATATTTCTGCATGGTTTGCGGTAGAACTGAGATATTAGACAAAGCTACAATCCAAAGTGGCTGGTGAGCAAATATTGGCCAAGTTATGCCAGATTGCTATGGCAAAACAATAAATTGTCCCACTGCAACAAAGCTTCATGGAAATCAGTCACTAACCCCTACCATTCAGGATCTGGGTAACATATCTTATCCATCTGCCTAAAAAATATTGGTATACCTCACTGTTGCTAACATCAATAGTGGCTGATATGAACAGAAGGCTCCTGAAAGAAGACAGTGAAGGAAGGAATATAATGAAACAGATTGTGCATTAAACATTTATTTTGGGGAATGAGTAAGTGGGAACAGAACTTGGCCAGCAAAAGGCAAACAAAGCCCACAAAGAAGTATAAAATCTTAAATATCCTAATGACCCACAGCGATGCTGTGCTTTTTTTATCCCTCCATGCTGTTGTTGCAAGAAATCAATATAAAGACATAAAAGATTAAAGTGAGCACAAATAATTAACCACATTCATTTCAGGAAAGGCCATACAAACCTCTTAGAGCACAAATGGAGTTGGCCTGTGTTGTAGAATCCAGCTCATCGAGTCTGACAGGGCCAGTCAGCTCACTGAGGTCAGCACCGGCAGCCGAGCACAAAAGAGGCTTTTGTAATAAGAGAACAGTACGTTCAACACAAATAATCCTACCTGCCAACAAAGACATTTCAACTCAGTACAGTAACAAGGAAAAAGGTGACCATGTTAATTGTCATGGCCAATAAAGACAACAATCTCTGCCAGCTACTGAACCGATGAATACACTCCATCAGGTTTTCTCAATGACAAAATATTTTGCTTTCAGTGATACACGCATCGTGCTCTTGATACACTTCACAACTCCCAGGTTAAAAAAGAAGTTTTAAAAATTTTAACATGGCAGAAGAGAGTCTGATGCCACCCAGAATGCATTGAACCATGTTCCCTGCAAAGAGGTTACAGTCTCTTCCCCAGTAATAAGCTTGGGTACCCCTTGAGATGGTCTTACTTTGTTTCAAAGATTACAAAGAGTAGGTGCATGCAATGCTTTATTCTCCAAAGCAGAGATTTTTGCTTCAGGACACATCCACTTGCGTAGTTTTGTATTTTCAGCTCATTAAATGTTGGAAGTGACTGAAGGTGTGAGATGTGAACTACCCAAGCAGTCACCACACAGAACATAACTTGAACCTCATAAAAAGAGTGACTAAAGATGAAAGTAAAGTGAACCACCATAATTTCATGATCTGTGTGGTGGCGAAGGCTCACACCTAAGATGGCATAGGAGAGCTTGTAAAATTTGTGTATTTAGGGACACACAAGTTTCTTACTATTTTTGAGTCTCCTGTCAGCTAGCAAAATTCAATTAACACCGGTCATCAGACTCAACAGTCATCAGGAAAGACTGACAGTAATATTAGTGGTCATACAACAAGATCAATGAATTTCTCATTTACTTTGGAGCTGAAAATATAAAAAAGAAACCTTAGAGGAAAGCTCTAATTACAACCCCTTTCAAATTTCTCATGCCAAACTTGCAAAGTCTCATCTTCATCTGAGAATGGAAGTCTCTGGAGGTCACCTATTGTGGTGTCAGAGACAGGGATGCTATTTCTGTGTGACTCCAACTGCTTCAAAACCACGAGCAAAACTTACCATTTCCCCACAGTGCATCCTTGAAGAAGACAAGTCGCGAGGCAACACTGAGGGCTTCTGTGATTTCCGTACTGAGAACACATGATGCAGTGACTGCCACAGCAACAACTTTTGGAATCATATGAACCACATCTTGCAATGTGGAGTCAGTCACAAACAACAAAATCTCTCTTTGATTTACAGGAACACTGTGTTTTGTCTATCATTTAGAAAAAAAAAAAAAAGATATAAAATTGGAATGCAATTGTTAATTTTTTTTAACAGAAGGAAAGACTAAACATTCTTATATTTAAACAATTCATAAAACTGACAGAAATTATTACATTTAGGGTTTGTACAGGATAATGAAATTCCTTACTTCAGATACAAACATCTCTACTTTAAATTAACTTTCCGAGGTTGACTCTCTTGGCTTTACCTCTATGAACCATCACACTTTATCATAATTCACTTGGACTCTACATGGGATTTGAAAATATGTTTTATAAAAAAGTATGTATTAATTATTTAGATAATATATGAGATATATATATATATAAATCTAGTTGGATGGTTTTATTAAGACTTGCATAATTTTTGCCTCAAAAAAAAGAAGGAAAGACTATTGCTTCTACTAATACTATTATTATATTACGAATATAATTCCCAGGAATTCCAGTCCTTGGTTAATAGCTATTGTCCGGTCCTTGGCTAATGGCTACTGCAAGTTACAAAGTTGGAGCTTTTTCTTTCAGTTGAATGAATATCTTTAAATATTTCAATGATGCATGAAGTTAAGGAAGTAGACAACTCATAAGTAAAAGACACAGGAGTCTGCAATTGCAATATAAGTTTTCTGCCCTAGACAGGATATAAAAATATCATGGTATGATTAAATTAAGATGCATCACAACTAATGATGTCATAAACGAAACCCCCTACATTTCAGCTCAGCCTTTGTATCTGAAAATAATCAACACACAATCAGGAGTGGTTTTTAAATTTTTCACACTGGGATAATGAACAAGACAGACATTACATACACATCAGTGCTTATTCCTGGATCTCTAACAAAATCAGTTGGGTTACAATTTGATGATTCATGCTTTTATTTTGTTGTTTGTTTGTTCTTTTAACACAGCTTATAATATATATGTGTGTATGTGAATTTTCCCAAGCTTTAGGAAAATTAATTTAATGACAAAGCATATTTTTCATTTACCAGTGCAAGCAACTTGTTAATTTTCAGATTCTAATATTTTTAAATAATTGAATATTTTAAAGTATTTAACTAAGATTAAATTACTTCCTTAATTTAAAATGTTTTTGTTGCTTTTTTTATTTAGTCTACTAATCAAAAATTCATACTTAAAACATATATGCCTTAATGAAATATTTGCTGCCTAGTGCAATGATGCTGTTTCTTTGCCTACTATCGACATACATTTGGGTACCTTCTCAGAGTAGATAGCATTAGGACAGCTTCAAAGAAAGGATTTTTACATCTGTCTCTTGAGAATTAATAACACATTAAAAGCTGTGTTTCAGAAGAATCATTCAAAAAGTAAATAATAATAACAGCAAAAATCGTAAGTTAGTATAAAATCATCATCTTGCTGTGTGTGACAATTTGTTCTGAACAGAGAGGACACAACAGACAAATAGCAGCAGGATTGAGTTATAAGGAAGGACAGCTCCTTAACCACAGATGGAATATATTTCCTCATATTCCTTCTGAACCACAGTACAGATTCTGAGTAATAATAAAAGCATATTTCCATTCCCACTTCACACAAATTAAGTAGTATTAAGTAGTTAATACTGTAGTTACAGAGACTAAATACAAGTTTTTTAAAGTACACCTGAATTAGTTCACATAGCAGATTATTTATTAATTATAAATGTGCACAATAAAATGCACAGTCCCCTCTAAATCATAGTCTCTTCCTCACTTATTACAACTTGGTGATTTTACATGTCAAAGGTATGTCCTCTTGGCAAAGGCAACTGCAGGAAACAAGCTGATGTTCGTGGTTCTTCTTCTGGGAGGATTAGGCAAGTAATACACTACCTGTACATTCCTAGAGCAGTTATCCAGAAAGTTAAACACAAGAAGAATATCTTCTACTGCTTTTCCATCATTATTTTCAAAACATTAATTTCACTTATGAAAATTTAGTGCTTACAGTTTGGTAAGTGAATAGTCATTAAAAAACCAGCTCTGAGTAGAAAGAAAAAATCATAGACCTTTTTTTCTGTTAGTCAATATTCCATTCTTCAAAATCACATCTGTTCCTGCATGCTTGAACTCTAATTCAGTGATGAAGAGCTTTTACAGAAGAATACTGATGACCCACATTAGCATCTCAGATGTAGACATTCCTGAATACAAAAATGTTTGGCTAGGATACCTCTAGTCTGTAAGTCTGCAATTTTATTTTATTTTGCACTAGAACAGGTTTCTTGGAAAAAGAAGTTAACACATGTATCTGTCTTTCTGTTAGAACCCTAAAGATCCCATCAAGCTAGCACTAATTTCAAGTATGCAAATGCTCTGTTACATTCTCGCTCAGCATGCAGAAAACATGATACCCCTCGTCTTTGGAGTTAAAAGTACTCCCTGCCTAAAAATTAAATCATAACTCATTTGCTTCTGAAGCAAAAGGGCAAGACCTAAATTAAATTTATGTCTCGCACTGGTGGGAAGCATCTCCAGCTATTTTGCTGTCCGTTCTGGAATTTCTTTGTCTTTGGTTCATATGCTTTGATTCACACTTTGTTTCTTGTGGAGCTGATGGACAATTGCAAATTATTCTCCACCAGAATTCAGTGCTGGCTGTACTAAGGATCCAGTCGCCAGGAAAAAATAAATAAATCAGCAACAAGAAATTCCTTTAACTACTAAGGGAGTTAGCAACATTTTGAAAGAAAATTGTAGCATCATTCAGAAACAAATAAAACATAATTGTAAGCTTTCCGGCACAGTATGGATGGCAGATGTATTTACCTAAGAGTTCCTCCCTTTTACTACTTACTGGACCATAAAAGCCAAATTTGCCTGAGGGGCTTCAATGGAAGTCAATGAAAATCATCCACACACTTGCATGAAAAGAACAAAACTGTATTTTTATATAACTATCATCTGTTCCATTCTATGCCCCAACATTCAACTGACGGGGAGCATTGCATAGCAAGAATTGCTGTGTATCTAAGGACAGCATTTAGCTATAAATGGAGTCTCAGCTGCAAGCTCCCTTTCCAAGGTGCGAGATTATCTCTGGTAAGATAGCAATTTATTCAGGAGTAATTCACTTTCTCGACTGAGCAGCATTGAAACTGGAGATGCAATTCATTTCACCCATATTCACAAGCATTTTAGACGTGGTGATAATTCTGCCCGTACAACTCTTGAACTTAATTCCAGAAGGTTTTGGGTTTCCTCCTCAACAAGATGAATGACGGCTTCTTCACATAAACAACATGCTGATTTTATGTTGAATTCATTACTAAGTGAAAAGATTACCTGCAGCCTTAGATAGAGCACTTGCGCCCCAAAGCTACAACGCTTGTTAGAACCATCGATCTGAAAATAGTACAAAAATAGAGAATGAGACAAACATGATACCAGAAATCCAGTGGTAAAAAGTACTTGTTATCTGATTTGTAAAGCAGATTACCCGAAGAATTTCCTTTAGACCATGAACAGCTGGTGGCTGGTACAAATTAGAAATCTGTTCTTCCTCATCCACTTCCACATGTACTTCACCAGACTGAACAGTAAGAATATAACAGAAGCTGGGAGGAGGAAGATTAGCTGTCATCTATTAAAAAGTAAAGAAAAGAAAAGTGACCTTAAAACAGGCACTTTAATTTGGCCAGTCGAGTTTTTCAATAATAGGCAAAATGAGCAAAACAACTTATATTTTAAGAGGGATGGGGAAACAAAATTATATGGTTAATAACAAGGACTCTGGTGTAGAAGCTGAGTTAACAAACGAACATTCACAAGTTATAAGTGAAATCAGCTTGTGTGCATCATTCTTTCCATAATCTGACGTTGATCCTCATCACAAAAACAACTCATGATTTGGCACCCTTGGCAAACACAGTGACCCTTTCAAGGTGTTTTTTGTTGTTTTGCCTTTTTTTATTATGTGGTAGGAGTGCCTCGATTTTTTTTAATTTTTTTTTTTTAACGTCCATAACTTCTCTGAGATTTGGGGACTTCTGCATGTGGGTGGGTTTTTGTGATAGTAAACAGCTGCCGAGCTTTTAAAGCCACCAAATTAAATCCAGGACAGCACAAGGAGATAATGAAGAACAGGAATGCAAGAGCTGCAAGAACTGCTCTCTTTGTGTTATTCCAGATTTTTCTTTCTCCCTTAAAAAGTACCATGACGTAACAACTTTATCAACCACTACTTAAAGAGGTCTCAAACTAGACAGACTTGTCAGAAAAGACAAGACAATGTTAGAAGATAATTTTTATGGCAAAATACTCTTTCAGCGATATTTGTTGTTAATAAAGCGTCTAATTTAATAGAAGAAATATGAATCTACTTGAGACAGCTGCCCATCCATTAAAAAGAATCTGTATAAAGAAAAATAAAAGCAAAAAAGTTGATACCCAAACTCTGTTTGCCTAAAGAAGGCATTTGAATGTATATATGGCTCAAAAGAAATCAGTTCCATAGATCTCTTCCCAATACCATTATCATTGTGCTGGCAATATTATTTATGTACCTGTATATAAAACTGCTTCCCTAAAACTGTGCATAAAGCTATAATGTTTGTATCAAGAAAAATGTGTCTCAAGTGAAAGACATCCACTCAGCCAAAAACATGGAGCATCAGAATGCAAGTTGTGATTCTTCGTGGAATGAACTACCATTTCAAACCCATGACAGAAGTGTAAACTACATGATTATGCAAAGTTTCCTCCATTTTTAGATTGGTAATAAAATAAAAAGAATGAGAGTCAACAACCTTAAACAACATTTACGAGCTTTGCTCCAGCCTTGGGTATTCCCAATTCTGTTGCCCACACTATTTTAATGCAGAAAACCATTCATTTCCCTGAGACTTCTAAAACATCTAGATAAAAGGGAGAGTTAAGGAGAGTACTGCTATGTCACTCAGCTTCAGTCTTGATTTTATATATAACTAAGGTCTGAGTTTCTTATTCTTCAGTATAACCCTCTGGGCAGTATAAAGAACACTCTACATTCAAGAAAAAAGGTTCTCAGACTTAAGAAATAACCAGTAGTATATATCTTTAATGCTCCCTGGGTTTGAAACTTGTTTATTTCCAGCTTTCTCCTTAATTTTTCTTTTTTTTCTAGAATCTGCATCCCACTTGACTCCCCTATGGTCTAAACCAAATTTTTAATACCACAAACTTCTTCCCCAAAGAACAACCTATTCAAGACCAACACGCACTTGGCTACCCAGAAGCTTCTCAAATGATCTCACATTACCAAAATGACACTTGATAGGACAGAACTCCTTTTCAAAGACGAAAGCTAATTAAAGGAAAATTACAGATGTTAATTGAGCTTTGCAAATACATAGTAACATACTTTAAATCCATTTTTATAGCTCCACACCCCCTAAAATCAGAGAAACATTAATTATTTTAGTAATTACTATTGTTTTCATCCTTCTACTGATCTCACATGAAATAAGTATCAGTTAAAGTCATCCTGACTAGAACAAGACCTGCTTCCAGCTGTCAGTCTTCACAGAAGTTAATCTTGGGAAAAGTGATTTCAAACCTAAGGCTAAAAAATCCTTCTAAAGAACAAGTTAGTATCCCTGTATTTTTCAGCTGGTTCCATGCTATCTACTATCTCTTTTCTCCTGCAAGGAGAAGAGAGGAAGAACTTGTCTGGACATCTTACCATTCTAGCTCTAGAGGATTAATATGGGGTTAATTGCATCATTGTGGAAAGATGCTGCTGATCCAGAGGGCTTCAGGTTGGCCTGTGAGGTTGTCAGAATCAGCAAAACAAAACTTGGAGGTAAACACAGGGAAAGAATCTTGATTCCCAAAGTAAACATGATTATACCACCAACAAAAATACTAGTTGTGGGTGAAAAAATTCATACCCATAATAACAAAACTTACCATTTCAGCGTCTTGACTTTGTCCGGGAACTTTTACAGGCACTACTGGAGGCCACAGACTGTCTATCAGACTAAAAAGTCCTAATGCCCTTCAAAGAGACCAGTAAAATCAGGTTTAAAATATTTTCCAGTGTGACACATTATATTAAAAAGATTCATTAGGAAATGTAATTTAAACCACTGCACGATTATGAAAACAATTTAAAATCATATTTGTTTTCTGGAAGCTGGTTTTGATTTGGTCTAATTAAATCTCCATCATTTCTGCTGCAGGGTGGAGAGGAAGGGAAGGGATGTATCACATCCACTGACAAAAAAGTCATATTTAATCCTTTGTCACAAACAGCTTGCTACATGATAAAATTCAGGGGAACTGGGGTAAATGCTAGCTTGGGAAGGACACAGACACCAGTACAACTTCTTTTAAAAAATAGCTTTTAACTATTAAAAAAAAAGTTTGTTTCAAATTTTTTCATTTTTTGTTATTTGTTGCTAACAGTTGTTTGTAACTCCTGTCAGGAAAGTCAGTAATTATCAGATATACAGAAACAGGCAAGATTTTGTTATCTTCAGTACATGTGCAGAGGATGGTCTCCTTCCTACACAGTTGCTCATTTAGTTATGATTTCTACTTATTTATTTATTTTGCGAGTGTCACACTTTTGATTTAAAAATAAACACAAAATTAACAGCCTAGCATATCAAGGTAAGATGTGGCAGACTCTTCAGCAAACAAAGCTGTACTTTGCAGCAGTTCAGTGGCTGCCTTGTGAGTTGATGGAGCATCCTTGCTGGACGGGTAGGAACATCTGAGGGAGAGGCCAGGAAAGCAGTTGAGGGAGGGGAAATAGCTACATATAACCAACTTGAAGAGGCATGCATTTTTGAGTTAAAGCTCTGAGTTACCTTGTCCCAGTCCTCCTTTCTGTGCAGTTAAAGCACTGAGATCTGGATTTTAACCCCACACTGACCCTATGAACAAGCTGTCTGTTCCTCCAATTACAAAAAAATAGTATTTCTGAAGCAGCTTTAACAAATGAAGTCCAAAACCTGCTAGAAGTAGTATTATCTTCTAAACCCAACCATTTAGAAGGAAACCACATACTCTGGTACAGGCCTGAAGCATGTTGCATTATTTTGCTTCTCTTCAAGGGGTCATGGAAACTTTCATTTTAAAGTTCTGCTTTTAGCTCACTTCTGCTTAAGCTTACTTATTTCTGCATTTCCTTAGTCCTTCTCCAGATCCTTAAGTGCTTAGATTTTTGGGTGTCTACAGACACTGAACTTCTTACCACATTTTTTTCATGAAATGCCATGCATTGTCTGTGATTCAGTGTTAATAGTGATGCCTTTGGACCAGCACTGCAAGAAATTTTACAGATGCAAATCTCAAAGTAGATCTTATGGAATAAAACTTGTGGTTCACAATTCAGTAACAAATTGGCAGAGTGAAAAGATGATATGTTGCTACCTGTAGTTGCATTCTCCCCACTAATGAACAGACAAGAAACACCAAAATATCCCCTTTTAGAGAAATGAACTTCCTGACTTACACAGCATCAACCCCAAGGCTGTAAAAGGAGAATGCTCAGCTCAGATACTGTGGTGGGGTTTTTTTGTTTTGTGTTTTGTTTTTAACAGTGAGACCATTAAAACACACAAAGCAACATTTCTTAGGTATTAAAGAGATTTTAAAGCAAACTGACTGCTTCTTGAATCCTTGATCTGGGCAAGATTTTCTGTTTTGTATTGTACAGAACTATGTCCCCTCTGTAGACACAAAAAGGGCCAATGCCCACAGAAACTAACTGGTCTTGCTAACTGGGAGATGAAAGAGGGGAGTTTCAAAAAGAGAGCACAACCTCCTGTACAGTTCACATAAGTGGCCTTCCTCACACAACCTACAGCACAAGGGCAGAGCACAGATATGAACGTACCACAAACTCTGTGCATGTACAGGGATTGCACATTTATCGACTTAAAACAACTAAGCTTTGTTTTTGCTTGTTCATGTCTTCATACAGACCTTACACTAATGTCTCATTTGTATTTTTAAGTGTTCACAAGGGACATGCAGTTTTCCTTTCTTCTTTAGCTCTCTTCCAACTGTTATCCTTTGTCAGAATATCTAAGATATACGATACATTTTCTCCTACTCCTTGTGTCCTTTCAGAGAAGGCCATCTACTGCTTGAACTAGGAGCACTTAATTATTAGTAAATGCCAGTATTTGTTTGCAAGCAGGCAGAAGGGTCAATGCTGTGTGAGGAATGTCTCCTGAACATCTTGGCCCCGTTATTTCTTTGACACCAGTCAGGCCAAGGGCAGAGACATTTGCCAACCATTTGTGCACCAACTGGGATGTTCTCTCCTGGAGCTGTCACTCCATCAGTTGGTGTCCCTGGTGAGGAGCTCCCCTCTTGCTCCACCCACTAAATTGCCTCAAAAGAAAGGTAACTCTCTCTTTACACTTATGGACTTTGACTTAGCAGAGGGGAAAATGAGTGGGGGCACTGACAGTGAAGAAATAACAAAGACATTGTGTCCTCTTCTGTAGAAAATCACTATCCTCATAGAAAGAATAAAAATTCATTCTCTTTTATTGCCAAGCAACACTCAAACCCCATTTCAATCTGACTTGAACAATGGGTGTATTTTATCCAATATGTGTATCCTTCTGCAGCTATAGAGTCAGGACAAGAGACGAACAGCTGGCTCTATGCTACAGTGAAGGGACATGGTTAGCTCCCATGTGCATAAAGAGCCTCCCTGGCGACAGAAGACAAAATAAAAATGTTAAAATTTTGCTCTGTGAGTGTAATTACTAGTTACTGTCTTAAAAAAAAAATCATTTTAATAACAGAAGGACAGACTTCTAAGAAAGGAAAAGCAGAGTGAGAAGTGAGAAGAAACAAGCTCAAAGATCAAAAAGAAAAAAAGAACATATAAAGTATTTAGAATAACTTTTTTTTTTTTTTTTACTTCAGAGACTAGGGCTCTATTGTAGTACTCTATAACTTTTCTTTGAAAAAAAAAAAGAAAAAAAAGACTGAATCTGTACCAGGAGAAGGACAAAAATCATCTATCAGATTCTAAATGACTCAGCTCTCAACTTTCCACACCAGATTTGAACCTGTGTTTGGTAAAAAAAATTCTGTCTCATCATAATACGTCTATTGTTTAACACCAAGACAATAAGACCACCAGTAACTCCATAAGTCCAGTGCAGTGTTACAGCATAGATTTCCAAAGAAATATGGACTTGGGACACGCAGGTATGCCTCTCTTCTGTAAACCCACATCTTCAAGCTTTGCTTATATATAATGGGATTTTTATATATGTGTGTGTGTGTCTATATACATATAATATGCAAAAAAAAAATTAGTGTCTTTAATTATTTTTATTATCCAATGTCTTCAACTTTATTATCCAATGTCCTAAACATTCCTTGCTAAACTTCATCACATCTTTTCTCTGTATCCACAAATGCAAACTGACTGCTCTGACAGCAGTCAGACAATTTTAAAGATTTAACACTGTTAAACAGGCTCAAAACATGACTGAGAATATGCAGAATATATGTGCAACACTTGCAGAAATTAATCCTGACCTATTTAACAAATCTCATTAAACTACTCCATAGAAAAATCACTACAAGATAGGAGTGATACTAATAAAATAGCATTTACTTTTCCCTCACCGGGACTCTCACCATATGTGACGACTGTGCTGCTCTGCAGAGAAGTTGCTTTAGTCTGCTCACCTAACCACCTTTCTTCTCAGTTTCACAGCTCAATAGGAGCCAGAAGTCACCTTCAGCTTGTAACCTTCCTGGCTTGTTTTGCCCATCACTGCAGTCAAATGGCATAGACTGGTATGTGCATACATTCATACACCTATTTGCTCAATGATTTTTGGTAAAAACATGCAAATAAAGAGCAAAGCCATTGTAACTATATTTAGACATCCAGTAAACTGCCAAACGAGTACTTAGGCTATCAGCACCTCTCCGATCCTGTGGAAATTCCATTCATTTATACCACAAGATGTACTACAAAAATCAAACAAGTCCAAATTTTGATTTTTCAAAACTGTATTTCACTGACTCTGAATTGACAACTTCCTTCATAACTTAATAAGGAGATTTTGTTTATTTCTGTTAAGTACATGAGGGTTCAGCTACAGTTCTGGTCCAAGAACTTTGTGTGTGCCATACCTGAATCAACTTTTAACATACAGCTTATAGGTTGGAGTATTTTTTTACTTTAATAATCATAACACAGTCTCAGGAGAAAATTACAACAGGGAGAAAATACCAGCAATGTCAAAGAGAGTTAAAGGAAAAGAAGGCACATAAGTAGGAAAAGAAGAAACACTATGTAAGGTTTACAGCACGGAACAGGAAGATGATAGGATTCTCTTCCAACATCTTCCACAGATTTTCTCTGAAGACTCCAGACTTGGCACTTCTCTGCTTCCTCCTCTCCTACTTCTTACAATTTTATTTTAAAACAAAACAGTTTTCTTTGGCAGTGTCAGTCTCAATTATTAAGAACTCAAAAATAAAGCAATTCCTAACCCTCTGTGGAAAACTAAGAAGAAATTCCTAAATAATCACCTAGACTGCATAAGCTTCAACTCTCAAGGGACAAGCAATCCAAATAAAAAACTCATACTGCAGGCTACCTCTCCCTTTAACTGACCTACTAAGATCTTGCAGTGCACAAACTATGCAACACCACATTTTCTCAGACTTCAGTAATAAAAGAAACAAAGCCATAAAGTAAAAATCTGAGCCTAGTAAATGAGTATCTCAGTCAAAATACAAACAGGGAGGAAGGGTTGCTAATCTCTTTTCCTCAAAGTTTTGTTTAGATACATGAAATTATTTTGTTAAATAATTTACATACCTTAAAAACTCAGTTTTCTATAGTACATTAGAAATTACATTTACTACATTAAACCACTGAAGTTATAAAATAAAAATACTTTTGATTCAACATGGATATGCCTATGTTATTCTCCAGTGCTGGTTACTAAACAGATTAATGACAGAAGCACTGAAGATACAAGTAGAAGTCAATGCTTATTAAAGAATAGAAAACTCAGGAGATAAAAAAAATCATTTCTGATACATCAGCAGTCATAGAAACTGATAAAAAAGTAATGTAAATATTCAAAACTTCAATAAGATTACTGAAATTATGTTTTATATGGAACTGAACTTTCAACCACAGCAATTACTGAAGTGTTTCAGGACCTCAAAACCTCAGAGACGTGGGTGGCTCTTTTAGATGGCAGTCGTTTTGGAGGAGGGAAAACCAAAGGAAGGAAGTTATGACCTCCTTGCTCTGTGGAGAGTTCTTACTATTACATTTCCTGTCTATGTCTAGCAGTTGAAACACTTACATGTGTATCAGTTAGTAGTGGTCCTCTCTTCTGAGGGCAAAGCAAAACGAAGAGAAAGTCCACAGTGAAGAGTAGAGAAAAAAAAAAAAGAGAGAGAAAAGAGAAACAGAGGCCAGAAAAGCATGAAACTTAATTAGAAAGAAAAGAAAAAAAAAAAAAGAATGAAACCCCTCAGGCACAATAGTGACCACTACAGACATACAGGGAGATTTCACATTTCAGTGCCTAACATTTGAAAGTTTAAAATGACAAACAACAGAAACCAACTGTATTTGAAAATGCAGAAATTTCTCAGAAGAACTTAACACTCGTTGTTAAACTCTATGCAGAGTCTACTTACTTTAGAGGAAAATCCAACAGATAGTACAGCCTGCTATGAATTAAATGTTGGCTCAAATGCCAAAGCTTATAAGTTGATGTATCCTTCTAAATGTTTTAGCCTATTCGACTTAAGCACGGATTTTAGTACTACCAATGCAATAGCTGCCTCTTTTTTTGAAGCTTATTAAGCGTTTTTTGACATTAGGGACAAAATTTGTGCTGCCATCCTGTGTTCTTCCTCCTCCCTCCCTTTATAAATGGGTGTCATCTATCCATTCTGTTGAAACTCTTCATATTTTCAACATACAAGAAAGCCTAAAAGGAAAAAGCAGGTACATGTGCTATACAACAACTCAACGCTTGGAAAATCAGGTGAAAACACACAAATTGTCAAAATCCAAATTATAATTCTGTGTGGAACTCCAGTCAGGGATAAAGACATAATAGTTTTTGTCGATAAAGGCACATATCGCAGCTCATTGAAATTAATTTCTGGTAGGAAGCAGCAACTATGACAATTTACAGGTTATTTATTCCTGAGGCATTTTAGTGAGTGCTCAGTCCCTGCACCTCATTGCATCCATTTAGTTACTGGTTATACCGGACATACCTGAAACACGCCTGGGATCTATTAAGCTCGGGGGGGTTATATGTTATACTGCATATGGATTCATAACCAACATTCCTCCTCTAGCTGCACAGCCTCAAAATTTCACTTCCTCTTTCTGAAAGGGCTGAATTTAAGAGTGACACATGAGGTAATGGGAGGACGAGTGCGAAAACACATTCCTCTAAGGAGCCGGCACCACCAGTGGCAGATCAATGAACATTTTTCAGTCTTTTCCCTTCAAACCACTGTAACTTTTTTATTCTTTTTTTTTGCTGATACTAAGCGTGCAGTTCAGGGAATAGTTGCAGGAAAGGCTAGGAGACAAGTATGAATGAGAAGGTTAAGAGAAAAGGTGTCAGGAAACAGATACCAAACCACATAAATTAATTCCGCTGTTACAATACTGTTTCCTACCTTTTCCAACAGCCTCAAGAACAGAGTAAAACTGCTGGAAATGGGACACTGAACAAGCCATGGCAACTCTGTCATGACTCAGCCATGTCCATCTGTCTTACAGTATTGCCAGAAACTGGGTTGCAAAAGGAAACATCACTTCCTTTACTGGACTGCAAAGGGAAGGATTTCTTGAAGGGATGGTTTGGGGTAGTATGTTTTACGTGCGGTAAGGGACTTTTTCTGAAAACCACCTAAATCGGTGAAAGACCTTCAAACAACCTAGTACAAAACTCTTAAACTTGTTTGAATATGAGTATCCAAAACCAATATTCAACATTAACAATGTTTCTCTCAAAGAAAGATTACTACAATTTTTCACAGGGCTGATCTTCATCAAGGCAAGACGTGGTTGTATAAGTTCTTATTCTACTTTTCTTTTGGAACACAAATGTTTTCTTACTGGAGAAGAAACGGGTTTAGTCTTCAGCACATCTCATTATGGGTTCATTCCGAAGATCAAGTAACGCTTAGAGCCAGGTTTTTGCCTGAATGTAAACTACTCTTTATTATAGGTTTATAGGTTTCTAGTCCTTGAAATGCAACTTCAGCTTAACAACAGTGATTTTCAAATTGCATTTACTGGAATGACGTTAAACATTAGATACTTGATGATGAGGATGGATGATGGCCTGGAAAATTTTCTGAACAATAGCAGTGGTCCATTGATGCCAAATGCTTGAGAACTTCTTGTATCTATTAGCAAATCTCCTCTGTCTCATGGAGGGATGGAGGAAGCACTCTGTCTCTGATTACGATCCATGTGACTGTGGGACAACATGCACATATGGGATCTTATTAGCCATTCCTGGCTTTCTCCAGATCATGTGCTTCAAAGGCACAAGGAAAAAAGTCATTACTTTTCCCTCGTATTTCCTACATTTTATTCCTTTTTATCCATTTTAAAAGCCTGTCAGACTCCAGGAAACAAAAAGTTTAAAAGTCATCTCCTTCCAAAAAGTAATTGGTGTTCTCCAAAAAAAAAAAAAAAAAAAAAAGAGGCAGCAGTCTTTCTTGCAGGGCAGACCACATAGTTCTTATTCACTCATATGCTGCAAGCCAAGGTTGGGCACTCACAGGCACATCCCATCATGTGTTCGGATATACCACTGGCTCTGGAAATCCATTTATCCAGTGGCAATGAATTCTACAGCTTAATTATGCTCCCTGCGAATAAGTACTCCCTCATATTCATTTCAGCTATGGCTTTGCTGTGGTTTCCATCACACCTAGAATGTGTCCCAAACACTTAAAAGTAATAAAAAGTTATAAAGCAGAACTTAGGCTAAAACAATTAAGAAAAAAATAAATCCCTGAACAATTCCTCCACCCACCCATCTTGTACAATGAAATCACGTTTTAACCACTGCACTGTCCCCGAAGCTACACTAACCATTTTCTTTTAATGTTCCCTAGCAGGGTTACCACCAGCACAGCTCCAGCTGAGCCACCAGCATTTTCAGCAGTGTGTCTTCTAATCGTCCTCAGAATAGCCAGAAGTAAGTTACTGCTGCTTTGAAATAGAATTTACATTAGAAAAAGTCTGTCTCTTATTAGCTAGGCAGAGTACTGGAAGCACCAGCAGCCAGTTGTAAAACTTCATTTGTATCCAGAATTCCAAAGCCATTATTTAATTTGTTTGGAAAAAATGTAACTCAGAAAAAAAGCCAACAAAATAATTAAATAAGAAGACGTGTTTGTTATTAAAGGTCCATAAAAATGCAAGTAGGCTTGAAATCCAAAGGATCTGAAAATTAACACTGCAAGTACATAAAAAGAAAAGCATACTGAATAGGGCTGGCTGGAAAACAACAATTCCATTTTGCTAAACATTTCAAGGCTTTGAAATTTGTTTTTGTTCCAATATGAAACAAAAATGAGACTTTCTCAAACTTTTCATGAAATGAGAATGAGAGAGAGAATATTCACTCCCTCTGGACCTGAAAAAATCTTCCCAACAAAGTTGTCATCCAAAATAGATAATGTTTCCATGAAACATTCTGGTTTTGATGAAACAGCATTTTTCAACAGGAAAAAAAGTGTCAGCAGAAATATCACAGCCATTCTTAATAGCAAAGGCTTATCTAGATCGGAGGTTTGTACGAATAAATTATGTTGAGAACTGAACCAATCTAATTATATTTATATAGGTCCCCATGAGAACACTGTATCACTTTCCCTAGAAAGATACTCTGTAAGATACTTGATCTATTTAATTTTTTCTCTTGACTAAAGTTATTTTGTTTTACTCAAAGAATGTAAAAGTAATCACAGAACAAGCAAAATCTGAGAGGTACTATAAGTCAATTTGTTACTTACCTGAGGGGATTTTTCTATAAACCTGATGACATTCTTATTTCAAAATAGGATTTTTTTTTTCTTTAAGAAACTTAAACTATGATTCTAAAGCCATATAGACTTAAAAGAATTAAACTGTCATATAGTCAGAGAAAGTCCATGCTTGAAACTTCAACCCATACTGGGCAGCACTGTAGAAAAACTTATTGCAGTAGAAGTTCCGCAATTAAAGGGAGGTGAAATAATGTTTTTAAGTTTCTGAATCTACTGAAGAGGAAGAAAACACTCGTATTTTATGAAATATTGAATACAGCAAACCCTTTCTCTGCTAAGGGTGTATTTGTGCATTATTTGTAGTTTATTTATGCTATTTTGGAGTGCAGTAGGCTCAAGTACAACTGGACACCCCAGAAGTAGCAATGAGGACATTTAACTGAACAGAAACAGGTTCAGTTGTTTTAAAGAATGTTGGTCACAGAAATAAATAAAAAGGAAGATCATCTCTGCCTGCCACATCAACCAATACGTTCTCCCATTAATTGTTCTCACCTTCCTCTTGTAGTTCTCTGTAAAATTTTCATTCCAGCTAAGCAGCAGAATTTTCCTTCCCATCTCCTGCAGTACTGTTCAATGTCATCTGTGGAACTCAGGGATTGCAGCTGCACTTCACTGAACATGCCATAGGCATCCTGGACAAGGAGGCATAACCTGCAAAACATTCCTCGGTTACTCAGTGGCTTGTCTTTGTAACAAACCAGTGAGCAAATTTCTGAAAACTGTATTACAAACTTCAGGACAGGGCTTATGCTCTACAATATCTGCAGAATTCCTATCAAATAACATATCAACAAAACCCAGAGATTTTGTTTCATTAAAGGTTTTCTCATGTACATTTTCAGGAGGTAACAGAGCCATGAAATAGAGAAGTATGGCTGAAACAAAGTGTATAAGGCTTGCACTGGGGATTAGGATGAATTAATTGATATGCACTATGTAGTTTGTGTACTTATAAAGAAAGAAAGTTAAGATTTTGCCTTAGTTAAGGTGAATTCTGCAATGCAGACAGGGCAATGACAGAAACATATATGTGTGTACAAATACAATAATTCTGCTTAGAAGTAAATAAAGCAACATATTTCACAAGTAATAATCGCCAACACTGAAACTGGCAAAGCAAGCATTACATTTTCTATAACTTTTCTTTAAATATATTTTTAAAAAAGAGTTCTGAGGAGGCAGAAAAGAGTGAAACATCAATTTCTTTTTTTAAAGAAACCCAACACGTAAATCCAGATTGGTTTATTCAGTATTGGGTACGAGGAAGCCCTGAGAAGCTATTTTAAGAAGGTAATTAAAGAACCTGCTAAACAAACAGTTTGATTAATCTATGGAAGATGGGGCTGTGGGGCTGGGAAGTATTGCTTAATCAACTTGCTGGCATTTTGAGAAGATATTACTGTCGTAACAGATAAGGCAAAATCAGTGGATGTCATACTTTTAGACAGCATGAAACGCATTACACAAGATTCTGCACCTGAGATGAGCAGCCTCGATAGCATGAGTCATGCAGGGCTGGAGGAAGGAGGCCGCTGTCTACGAGATGGGTTTAATTGCCTCAGAAAGAGACAGTTAAGCATGGAAACTCTTCAAAGGGAGGCAAAAATTACCTTTGAGGGTAGCACATGCATCTTTATTTCTATATAAAACTCAGGGGTGCACTAGGGAGCAGAATTCAGTTCATTTCATGCCAAAACTACCTTCCCCAGAGCAGCACCATTGTTCACAGCAAGCCAACTCCAACTGCTTTTGGAGCATGTCATGTAACATACACACATCCTGAAAGCATTCAACAGTAGTCATTATATCTTTATAAACTGCATTTTAAATCAAATTAGTTCCTACACTGAAGAAATCCATGTATTTTCTTTGCATGGAAACTTAGGCACATGGAAGACCATTAATCACACTTTCCTTGTTTGTTATAAACTGTCTAACTTTGGCTTACACCCTTAAGAAAGCTGTATTCAACATAAGATATGACCTCAAAGGCTTTCAGATATCAGCAGTTATGCGAGCACCAGCTAAGAGTCCTCATTTTTCAGACTCTGGTGGTGGTTTTAAGGAACAGGAAGGGGTAGGACTGGACACCAATAAAGGCTCCCACATTATCCCCATACGTCTAGCTACGAGGGTCCCACACAAACAGAGTCATCACCAGAAAAAAACTCCAAAACAAACTAAAAAAAAACTATGTTTGCCTGCTGCTTTCCATGTTAGGACTTTGCAGTCAGTTAAAAACTCCCCTGAGTTTTAACTGATTTGACTGAAACTCTTTGTGATGCTGTTTTGTTTGGAAAACCAGAGCTCATATGCTCTGGACATTTCTGAAAATCAGATTGAGGGGAACCGGAAAAACAAAGAAAACAGTTTTGCCTATGTTAACAAAACATTGACTGTTAATTGTGAAAAATTAGGCCTCCATATCTTGGAGCAAGGAAGGGCCAACTGAGTTAGTGTCTCAGATCAGATCAGTTCAGCAGTCTCTTAACTGATCACTGGGATTTCTCATATCTTTAGTGAGACATAACTGAACACAAGTAAGTCCCAGACTAGCTGGCACCAGGGTCATATTAAGTCCTCTGGGACATGTTAATTGCCCAAATAAAATGAGCTTGGTTGGTGCTGAAGACATCAGTTACTAAAAGTGCATTTTCCAAGTCCTTTTAAGTCAAGCAATGAGATGGTTTCTGTCAGACATAGGAGCCTCAGCTCCCCACATCCCTGGCCACAGATTTCCATCCCTTTGTGGTGGCAGCATAAACGGCTGGGACAGGAAACTGATCTGACCAAAAAAATACTGTAGCCAAATCATCATTATCATCATCATCATCTGAGTTCCTTGAAAATTAACTCTGCAGAAGTAAATTCCTGTTTGCATGGAGTACTACTTTTTCCTCGAAGCTCTCACTCCAGTTGTCCAGATGCAGCACATCATCTCAGGTCATATGATGGGAGAATGGTCATCTTATGACCAAGCTCAATGCACTGAGGAACTGTGTAATTTGAGGCTCCTATCACTAATGTTCCTATTCACACTAGGAAAACGTTCATGATTATTGGCATCATGGAGGAATACAGGGCAGCACAACCTATTGCATCAGATTCCGAGTACTTTTGCCCTGCCAGGTTTGTACACATGAGCAGACAGACACTATACTACACTTGTTCTAACAGTATCCAAAAGATAGTCATGATTTCTCTGCAACATGCATTTAAAATTATATGCATATGTTCACTCCCTTGGAAGACAGAATTTCACAAATAACCTTCAGATGCGTAATTTCAGACTAAAAGAGGGAATATCCCAAACCAATGCCATGAAGAGAACTTCACAAACACATGGTCCCTGCTTCACCATTCTTTTAAAACAGTATGAAAGAATGATGGCAAAACCTTGAAATGCTACAGGTATTAATTGATGCGTGACAATTGATTTTCCTACTTAATGACTACCATGAAATCAGCTATATCCCACAACAGACTCAGTGATGCACTTGGAGAACCATCCTCCTGTTCTTTGAAACTGGTTCTGTTCTATGGATTTTGTACATGCTGTCAGCATCACTGACAGTAGTTCGGCTGCATGCAGATGTTGTTGATTCATGACCTTAACTTCCTCACCAGCACTGGTTCCTTGATTTCACTTTATTCCCAGAAAAGTGCATGTGTATTATTTTCCCATGTTGCAGTGTTGCTCTCATATTACAGCAAATGTGCTTGCAAATTAATTTTTAGTAGGAAGTCTAACTGTGATTTAAGCAACAACTTGTCCCATGATTTTTTCCCCCTTTGAAGCTTACTACCAGGATAAAATCCCACATCTAAATTATGAGACAAGTTGCAAAGCCAAAATTAGGATCTGCCCCTTGGGAATTCAGCATTTATGTTTTGTGCACATCTATCACAAACACTTTTTTTTTTTTTTTTCATAAAATGAGAGTTTGTATGGAATCAGTTAATCAGGTTAAACATACCTTTACAAGTGCCCTGTCAGTACACAACTGAATAGCAGAATTCACTCCAGAAGAGTAAGGGGTATCAGGAAAGCCAGTAGGGGAGCAAATGTGGGAGAGCAGACTAAGGAAAAATTGAAGTATGACGCATTGGTAATAACAAAGGGGGCGAAGATAGGGAATGATAAGAACTGAAGCAGAGATAGCTCTTTTTTTTTTTTTTTTTGAATAATGACACAGTAAGTCTCATGCAAAAGCTTGGGAAGATTTTGTTAATTTGTTAATAGCCGGGAGCAAGGATGGGGGCTGGGGGAAGATGAGACTGATTACTCTGCATTATTTCTATGACTGTGCTGATCTTTAGGACAAAATGTCTGACAGTAGAAATCTGGAGAGGCTTATAGGATTACTGCCATGCCCTTCTCCCACTTAGTCACTCTTCGTGGGTAAAGGGTAAACCCTTCTTTTACTACTACTTTTTTATGCGTGAAAAATCATACCCCTCCACACAGCTGACTTTCTGGAGAGGTAAGGGCAACAAAAACCTTCTTCATTTTTGGTCACCTCCAGCCTCCTCAGCAGCTAGTGGAAAAGACTAAGAAAAGGAAGATCTTCCTGCAGAGGAGATGAGAGTGCATGGAGGCCAGAAAGGACTGATTACACAGGTACTGCTTTTACCAAGTCTTGTGAAAACAAGCAGCAGAAATTTGTCACAAACAGATCGTAATCAACAAATAATTGTTTTAGCCTTGGGTAGGAGGACAACTGTGTGGGCCACAGCATCTCATCTCCATGCACAGCTCAGTTGTGCAGTACAGCATGAGGAGCAAGGTGGCCAGGCAAACACTACCACCTTTGCAGAGCTCTGCAGCGACTTCATTAGTTGCTCTTTCTTTGGAAGGCAGAGAAAGGGGGGAACAGGAAAATGTCCGAAAACTAATTGAGTTGTATTAGCTTTGATATTTGTTCACGCTTTATCTTAACCATCCATGAGACAGCTGCTGCTGCTGCTTTGTTTGTCAGAAGGACTTCTTATCTCTGTGAGGTGCGGTCCTTGCAAAGGCATAAAGCACACGTACATAAACACACATAAACAAAAACCCCCTCTCCCTTCATCACCAGAGGCACAACACTACCTACACAACTCCAATTCAGCAACTTGTCTGGTCAAGTCTCAAGGTGGAGCTGATTAACTCCTGCTAATATGGCTCAGATTCAAATTGTAACCTGCAGGACACCACCCTACCGGGATTTAATTTCTCCCTATCCTATGAACTCCTTGCATTCACCATACCCATAACTATAACTGGAAAATCAAAGCTCAGGGCACAGGGACAACCATCCATCTTCCCTACCCACTTGTAACACAAGCAGAATTTCTCTATTAAAATAACTATATACAGCAGATCATGCATTGCTTCATGTTCCCTTTTGAAAAGTCTGTAGCCTTCTTTAGGGAGACACAAGATTTAGGGTTTTCTGCTTAAAATCCATACCATTTGCTGTCACTAAATAGCGAGTGAAGCTCTACAGAGTATAAGTATGGGTTGAGTCATACAAATACAAATTAATGATGATGATAACTAGCTCCTTCTCTGCACAGGTACAGAGGAAAACACAAGCACAAGCACCACTGTTTCCAATTTACAAGGGGAATGTAAAGCTAGAAGAAGAATTCTGGTCATAACTCCCTCC